ATTTTTCTTTAAGACCTAGAATCTCACAAAGTGGAGTTATAACAATCAAGTCTTAGCTTTGAAATTAAATACAATCTCTTGCAAAAAGGTTTTTAGGGTTATTAAGAGGTACCAGGAGAATAATTTTAAAAGCATGCTAACCAATGGTCACTAACATAACAAAATTCAAGGGTTGGTACAGAGGAAGACAAATATTTAAAATCAAAGAGCTTTGAAGCTCCACAGAGGGTAAATGCAGCCACATAAGATTAATGGTAAATAAGCTTACATGGCCATAACAAGTGACTGGAGGACCAGCAGGCAATGCACCTGTCAATAGGGAAGGCTGTGAGCCCCATCACAAAGGGGCAGCTCATACTGCAGGTGTGTTCATGCTCAGTGTTGGCAGATATTTCAAGATAGGACCCAAATAGGGGTTCTTATGTGAAATTTCCTGATGTTTTCAACACTGTTCGGGCCAAATAAATTCAACCTCTAATTTGGAAGATTAGCAGTTCCTGCACAAGCTTGGCAGTGAAAACAAATGGCTCCCTCTGGCCAATACTACCCCCTCTCAAATACTGACCAACAAAATAAACCCCCAGAATCATTCATTTTTACTCAATAGCAATATGATATTAAGAACTGTCATTTCAGTTTTGATAAGATTTGATGAATTTCATCTCTATCCATTACTTGCTGTGTGAGTGAGGTCAAATTAATTAAACTGTCTGAATTTCATACTTTCCTATTTGGGGATTCAAAAAAAAAATCTAGATCATAGGGTTGCCTTGGAGATGGCTTGAGAAATCATGCACTGAGATGAGTCTAAAAGAAGACACTAAGTATATGTGAATTTTTCCTATCACTCTCATTTTATAAGAACAGCCTATAACTAACAACATAAAAACACAGTAAAACAGTCAAAGGATGATATCAATGGGTGGGTTAAGAAAAAAAAAAAAAAGAAGGCCTGCAAGAAGAGATTGCCATCTAACCTCAGGAATGGCTGTGAAAACTGGGTCTACCACAGACATCAAATTCTTGAGTGGTTTCATCACCTCTGGGCTGGGGTAGCTGTAGGTGGCAGGGCAGGATTCCTGCCTGTGAATGGGTCCCTGGCACCAAGCCCTTTACTACCACTGAAGCCAGTCCTCCTTGCAACACCTTTCAAGTGCTAGGACATGTAGAAGATGCAGAGCCACACTGCAGCAATCAACCACAACCACACTAGGAAGGGGGGTGGGGTGCAGACTGGGAAGGGCCAGGAGGCAGGGAAGTGCCAGGAGGCAGACAAGGCCAGAACAACTTAAAGGAAGCTCCTTGAACAAAAACACCAGCGAAATCACTGCTGAGCAGGTACCTGAGGCCACAGACCACACAAGAGTCTCAGCATAAACAAGGTGGCAAAGTCTCTTTTACCCTGCATCCCAACTATCAAGCACTAAGTAAATGTGACTGTTCACCTTCAACATGGACAGGAACTATGACTTAAACCCTACCCTATGCAATAGTGCAGGCTGCTTTGAAAATATTACCTTGTTTTAAACTTCCCAAACTGGATAAACATCATCATATCCATTTTATATATGAGGAAATGGAGGGTCAGAAAGCTGGAAAGCAACAGAGCCAAAATGGAACCTGGATGGTCGAAGGGCCAAATTTTGCTTTTTATGTGACACTGTATATTGAGGTCAGGAATTTTTTTAACTCAAGCTGAGAAAATATAATTTTAAAACGCCAAAAAAATCTTCCATCAGTCCTTTATGAATCTCCACCTCCCATCCTCTCTTTCTCTTTCCCATAACAGGCTTTTTTATGAAAGAGTTGTCTGAAATTGCTGTGTCCACGTCCACTTCCTCACCTCACAGCACTAGTCAACTCTCTGTTTACAGGCTTCTGCCTTCAAGTTCCATCACCACCACTACCACACACACCATTGGCAAAGATGAACAATGGCCTCGCTGTTACCAAGTCTCTTCCAATAGCATTTTGCTGTCCTCTGTCACTTGACTTCCCCATAGGACAAAACTAGTCACAATTCCTCATTTCTTCAAGACTCTCTTGAGGTCACAGGACACTACTCTTTTCTGATAATCCTCCCAGCTCTCTGGCCACTCCTTCAGGCTTTCCCCTTTCACTAGAATTGTGTCATCAGCCCTCTGTTATTTTCACTTCGCTGTGCAATTTCATCCTGGACCATCTCATCTATTTCCACAGCTTCTTCTATCACTTATTTTATGCTGGTCTTGTATTTGAAGTTCTTCATTTAGAGAAATTTATAAAAAAAGAGGAAATTCTCAGAAGCCAGCAAAAGAGAGTAAAACATATCCCAAGCCTGGATAATAAATTTGATTGCATAAAATCCAAATATCATGTCTGAACAATTTAAAATCCTAAGCCTTCCATATAATTTCAATAAGAATTAAAGAATCTGGGAATATAAATCCTCCAAAAATACAAATTACCAGCCAGATCTGTGTTTCTCAATTATGGATCCAATTTCAAAAGAAGGGACTCATAAATAAATCATGTGTATCATTAAGCAGTGCCCACTGATTCCAGAGGCAGAACTTCTCTGAAACATACTCTGCATTAAGCTATGGTAAACAGAAGATAAAGACTGTTTTTTACGAACTTTTTCCTTAGTGTCAAAAACTCATAATATAGTGATACTAGCCAGTTTTTACACCTCTTCTATTCTGTGTATTTTTTTTTCCTTTTTAACTTTCAGGTATAATTTATATGCTATAATTTTCTTTCAGTTTTAACTGAACAATTCAATGATTTTTAAGTGATTTTAAAAATCTGTATAACTATTCACTATCATAATCCAATTTTCATCATCCCAATAAGATCCCTCATTACCTTTTGTGGTTAACTTCCATTCCTGCCTCCAACCCCAGCAAACAATAATCTGTTTTCTGTCACTACAGATTTATCTTTTTTCTGGACATCTCACCTAAATGGAATATGCCCCTACCCCTGCTTTTTTTTGGTCTGGCTTCTTTTTCCCACAAAAAGAATTTTTTTTTTTGGTGCCAGGGATCGAACTTGAGTCCTTGTGCTTGCAGGGCAGGCAGCAGAACCACTGGGCTAAATCCCCGGCCCTCCTGCAAAAGTTTTTGAGGTTGAATGTACTTCATTTCTTTTTATTTCTCAGTAGTATTCCATTGTATGACAAGACTACATTTTACTTACCCATTCACCAGTCTGCACTCAGATTCATTTTGCTTTGAACTGTCATGGTAATGCTACTATAAACATCAGGATACAAGTTTTTGCCTGAACATATGGTTTTACTTCTCTTTATGAGTAGATACCTAAGCAAAGAGTCACTTGCTTGTATGATAAATTTATGTTTCACATAAGACACTGTCAAACCGGTTCCAGAGTAGAAGTGCCCTTTTAAATTGTCTCCAGCAATGTCAGAAAGTCCTCACTTCTCCATATCTTTGGTAATACTTGTTATTATCTGTACGTTTTACTTATACCCATTTGGTAGATGTGAAATGGAAGGGACTCTAAGAGCCCTAACACTATCTATGCTCTAGTAACAAAACAAAACACTTCTAAATGCCTGATATTTACCATATACTATACCAATTCAAGCAAAGGCATGGCTAGGGTATCTAATCCTTAAAAGAGCTGATTGGGGTGGGTAAGAAGGGATAATCTAAACACATTAACACCCATTTTTTTCTATCTATCCCAAGACCAGTATTTTAACTGCATATATATTGAATAAGAGAGAGGGTTACACTAACTGAAAAGAACAAAAGTGGCTTTCTACTTACTATGAAACCCTGCTGACTCCAACACAATACAGAGACAAAAGCCAGAAGTTTGATTTGCACTTTTGGGATTCAGTTACTTGAGGTCTCTCTGTACCAGTGTGGTACAGAAGTGGCATGACTGAAGGGACATAAAGTGCCACAGGGTTTCATTTCATGAGGAACAGTGTGACTTCCCTTCCAGCAAATTCTGCCATAAGCATATTTTACTTTAGCTGCCCCTTTTATGAAACAGCTCCCGGTACAAAGACTTCTGTCTTTGAAAAACACCCAATAGAAGCCTGAAAACAGAGAATGTACCTGGATGTGGAAAGAGGGATCAGGAAGTGTGTTACAATGCACACATCTGACCTCAGCCTGATCTCAGCTCATCTTTATGAAAATGTCATCAAGTATCTCCAAGTTCAGAAAAGTTAAGGTATTTAGCCAAAATCATACACCAGTCACTCAAATCCAGTTAAGTACATTTGGGGTCAAACTGAGATTCAATGAAATATAGTTTTCACAAAGTACAGGAGCTTAAAAATAATTATTTAAATGACATTAAATTCTTAATGGGCATTTACGTGTGGGGAAAGATTACAAAGTCACATAAATTTGAGTCTTGATAGGTATTTAATAGGGCCTTCAGTCTTACTCCAGACTTGGCTGAAGTCATGAAACTAGTTACAGTACAGGCAGAACTAGAACCCCAGAGATTACAAGGATAGGGTGTTGAATACATCTGAGTTTATAAAGCACTCAGTGTTGATCTTTTCCAAAAACAGCAACAATCTTCAACTGCATTAAAGTCCCATCATATATGCATTGAGTTATATGTGCTCAGATCAAAAACAAAAGCAAAACAAACAAACAAGATAAACCAAGAACAGAAAGACTAATAAGCTAATATTTCTGAGTGCATTCTTGATGCCAGTATCTATGAAGTACTTTATGGATTATTTCACATAATTCTTAGTATTATTATTACCATTCCCATTTTATTAAGAAGGACACTGAGTCACAGAGATGTTGAGTAACTCGAGGGTCACACAGTGGTATCTAGATAGACAGCATATACAGAAATGGTCCCTACTGCATAGCAGGCTGAAAGAGGATACAAAACTGGACAACTCTTCTGTGGCATATGTGTTCATAGCCAGAGTATATGTTTTCTGATAATCAACAGATGACATGTGCCAAACCCTTCTCAACTGTTGAGGTTTTTTTTCTCTTTTTCCTCTCTAGAAATCAAACCAGGACTAACCCATGCTGAACCCATGCCTCAGTCATCCCCGAGTGTTTCCTGACATGCATTTTTGCTTACGGAGCATCATAACTAAAGAATGGGGCTCAACTTGACTGTTGCAAAGTTACCAAGTAAGCCATAGGAAAAGAAACAAAGAAAATCTTACTCTATCAATGACTTATTTACACTGCATGAAAATCTTTTTGTTTCAATGGTCACAGAAAAAAAAAATCTTTTAAAAATCTGCATTTATCCGTGTTTTTCATTAAGTGTAAAATGGCAAATATGAAGCCAGGCATGGTGGCACACACCTGTAATCCCAGCATTCAGGAGGTTGAGGCAGGAGGATCATGAATTCAAGGCCAGCCTGGACTACAAAAGTGAGTTCAAGGCTAGCTTGAACTACATAGCAAGACCCTGTCTCAAAAACAAACAAAGCTAATATGCAGGATGGCAACTGAGGTTTTTAAACTTTGTTTCACCTAGCCATCATCTCATCTCTAAAATGAGAAGGATTAAATTAATAACAACGGAGTAGATTTTCAAAGTCAAAGTAAAAATACATATTACTTTGAAGAGTCAATAGCTAAGCCAAGGTTCACTGAGACCAAAGAAGATAAAAGACAACATCTACCTGCTCTACTGGGTAAATATTGAGAAAATGATCATATGAGGGCCACTAGGCCACGGCAGTGACACCCTATAATTTGTATGACTTTATTATTTGATTCCCACCTGGCAGGTTGAGCAGTGACATAAGTTGATACTTTCACATTCTGTGCCAAGGAGAGACATGCCCAATGAGCAATGATGTACAACACCTTCACCAATGGTGAAAGTGCAAACATTCTTCACCACTCCTATCACTCACAATATAACTATATTAAGACAAACTGTAATAAACACATTGCATTTTAGACTAAATAGCCCCTACCAAGTACTAGGTTTTATAATCAAAGCATTTGTAATCCAACAAAATAACTATTTTCCATTTCATTTTATAAAGATATTAAATGACTAAACAAGTATATTATCCATTCCCTTTTATAAAGATAGTAAGTGGCTAAATCAGCATTATTATATAGGACTTTCTGGAACGAAGGAAATTCCCTTATCTGCATTGGCCAATATGGTAGCTACATGCAACTAGTCAGAAATTTGAATATGGCTACTCCAAGAGAGAAACTGAATTTTTTTGTGTTTAATCATAATGTAAATTCTAAAAATCTGATGTAGCTGGTGCTATATCTATGAAACCCGTGCATTTTTTCAAAAGACACGTGCTCACCCAGGACCACATACACATTTCCTCTACAAAACAGCCACAGTCCCTGCCACCCACACTTAGTATTACCCTCATATGTGGCACAAAATAATTTTTCATGGAATTAAGAGTTCTATGTGTCATTGTTATTGACAGTTTAATTTAAAAGGAGTTGACGAAAGCTGAGGGGAGAACAACAAAGGAGTTTTTATTCTTTAAACTGTCATTCTGTATTAAATCCTGAGGAATACCACCCTAACAAAGAATATGTGAGAAAACAGCCTTCATATAGTAAAAATGGCTTCTTCTTAATTGAATTGCAAAGCTATCATCATTAAAAACATTCCCCAACCTAGGCAAGTTCCTTACTTGTGAAGAACATGGTACAACTGCCCAGTTGAGGAAAGCCATTAAACGTTTAATGACTGATGTTCCTGAGTGGGAACACTGACCAGAGAAATGATTCTGAGCACACCCAAAAGTTCTGAAAAATGTGGGCCCATTTGGGAGAAGAAATGTTGGGAGTAGCTGGCAAAAAAAGAACATGACATAGACCTGATTCTAAAAATAAAGCGATCATATAAAACTCTCCACATTAAGTCTTGAGCCATTCAGAGCAACACACAGATGGCTCATCATGCTCCTTAGGAACCACTTTTTTCTCTCTCCTACCATACTATTTCACAAAACAATTTATAATAGGCTTTAGCTGCTAATTTGTTTCAGCTATATTATAAATGAAGTGATATTCGTGCCTAGGCTTATCCCATTTAATGTAAAAAGTTCTGTATTCAAAAATGTTAATCCCGAACATAAAACTAAAGGAAGCAAGTACTGTGAGATAACACAATCACCAGACTATCCTAAAGTCACGAAACAGTTCGTAACCACTGTGGGATAAAGCCATTCATTCTGATATATTTTATTCATTAGACAGAATTATGTATACAGCTTTCTTTTGACATTCTGACTTAAGCTTCTATTTTAATAATAATCGTAATTGCTAGGTAAATTATCACTTAATAAGAGTGCTGGTTCTTATAATTAAACATTGAAGTATTATAATGACTTACTGTACAGATACACAAATCCTAAGGAATACTGGAATGGAGGGATGGGTTCTTCCATCCCATAAGAATATGCACATAGATCCAGGGAGCCAAGAGCTGCAATTCATCATGCCTAGTACACTGCACCTGCTATTCTACTTGCACTTACAATGGCTTTGAACATCAATGCACAAGTACTGTCACTGTTTCAAGGCACAGCCATTATTTCAGGAGATAATGTTTGCCAGGAGCTGTGTTTGTCAGATGAACCCTTTTATTCTGATTAAAGCCTACCTGTTCTCTACTTCCAAGGGGGCCTATTCTGAGTAAAATGCAGGTGACTGATAATAGTTAACTAGAAAAACTGAAGCAGATATCTAAACTCAGTTAAAGCTGTACTTCTTAGGAGGCTAGTAATGGTTTTACTATTTATTTGGATCTTCTAGAATAGAAATAGCCAAGACTACAACAATATTAAATCAAACAGGCTTAAAAAATACCATTCAAGACAAAATTTGAAACTGGCAGCAGTAATACAGATGGCAGCTGAATCAGGCATTTTAAACTTGTAAAGCTTAGTAAAACCATAGGCCTTATAACAGGCTTGTCCAGGTATAAATTACTATTGTATGTAAGGATATTTAGACCAAGAAAACCAGTTTTTAAAAACACAGTACAGAATAAAAGGAAAGAATTAGAAAGAAGACAAGGTTACTCAGGAAGAACCTGGACTTACACATCATGCAGCAATTTAAGAAAACCTGGTTTTGCATTATTATCATCAAAACTATCTATCCTGTTCTACTTCTTCACAGAAGGTTACAAAAATATATAGTAAACTGCTTGTCATGTATGGAAATGGCTAAATTACTAATGAGAAGTAAAAATTCAGAAATGACCTTCCTTCAAACTTTATTTCTAAAAGGTGAATGTGTAAACTAAGTTCGGGTTCTTCTCCAAAAAAAGCAGATGAGAAAAAGTGATCAGTGGTCAAGATGGGAGGAAATGCTTTCAAGGAGACAATGGGGAAAAGTAAGTCTTCAAGTGCCTTCAAACCAACTATGGAAGAAAGAAAGAAATAAGGTTGAGTAGGAAGAGTTATAATTCACTATAATTTGAAGAGAATTTCAACCAGACTTTCAGTAGTCCTCCAGCCAGTCATGTGCAAGAGCAAATCCTTGTCTGGCAGAAACAGGCTTGTCTGAGCTTCTTTGCCATGCGCAGTCATGAAGGGGAGTGGTTCAGGAGAAACATAGCATCAGCAAGAAAGTGGAGGTAGATCTAGAGCACAATGCAATAGAGTAGCCTACCCACCACACTCCCTGAACTTTTCACAAAAGGGTATCTGTGAGGCCATTTTCACGGCTGCTACATAAACCAAATGCTCTTAAACTATTCCAGTGATTATACAGAGTAGTATAGTAGTTATCTTTAATCACATGAACCAAAAATGCAAAAGATTTTTAAAAACTCGTAACAAACATGAGGCATAATCTAAACTTGTAAATAAGAAAAACACAGCAAGCCGGCAATTAATTTAGCAAGATACCTTCTTTTGTAATAAACTTTAAAAACAAGAAAACAAAAATTAGCATTTTTCACTGGCGTACACAGAAACATTTACTTGAGAATACTCTTAACTACACAAATACATTTCACTGAAAAATGCACTAGATGGTGTATAATAGTTAAAGATGATTATAATCCACAAACAGGTTATCTGCAGTAATTTCACACTAACCTACAACTTAAATTCTACTAACGTGAAAATGTACCTTAAACAATCGCCAAGTCAGATCCAAATCTACCTTGGATTGTGTCTTATTTTAGAAGACAGATTTTCTTTTCACTTTAAAAAAAGAGACCAACATGTTTTACTTATATTCCTAATTAAAGTTCCTAAAGAATCCTAATTTAAGGAAGTCACAGACAAAAATTCAAAACGAGCCCTTAATTTTATTCCTTCCCAACTCTTAACTAGACACCTTAAAACTAGGGTGGAGGGAATATATTCAGAGAGTGAAATAATTACCGTGTCCTATTTTATTTTCTTGTTATAAGAAATTTCCAATTTTCTGTCTCAGGTTTTCTTGGTTCCTTAATAATATCAAACAATTAAAAATAAGGACAATTTAAGTTGACATATTTATTTCCAAATGGCTGTTCAAGAGAATCAGAAATATGGCATTTACTCAAGGGACTTTGGTGTGGGGAGAGAGGAGGCCATTTTCAATTGTTGGGAACATCTTCAAACTCATTCAAAAGAACAACAGTTCAGCTGGGAGCCTGGTGGACTGTGCGGTATGCAAACCCAGCACTGAAGTATTGTCTCCCCACTTCTCCTACAGATAATGAGCTGCCCAGCCAAGCAAGTCCAACTCCAAACAACACAACTGATGGACCCGGAAAAAACATCACCCTTCACAATGAGTTTGACACTATTGTCTTGCCTGTGCTGTATGTCATTCTATTTGTAGCAAGCATCTTGCTGAATGGTCTAGCAGTGTGGATCTTCTTCCATATTAGGAATAAAACCAGCTTCATATTTTATCTCAAAAACATAGTGGTGGCCGACCTTATAATGACGCTGACATTTCCATTTCGAATAGTTCATGATGCAGGATTTGGACCTTGGTTCTTCAAGTCTATCCTATGCAGATACACTTCAGTTTTGTTTTATGCAAACATGTACACTTCTATTGTGTTTCTTGGGCTGATAAGCATTGATCGATATCTGAAGGTGGTAAAGCCATTTGGGGACTCTCGCATGTACAGCATAACCTTTACAAAGGTTTTATCTGTTTGTGTTTGGGTGATCATGGCTGTTCTGTCCTTGCCAAACATTATCCTAACAAATAGCCAACCAACTAAGGAAAATATTTATGACTGCATGAAACTTAAAAGTCCTTTGGGAGTCAAATGGCATAAGGCAGTCAACTACGTGAACAGCTGCTTGTTTGTGGTTGTGTTGGTGATTCTGATTGGATGTTACATAGCCATATCCAGGTACATCCACAAGTCCAGCAGGCAATTCATAAGTCAGTCAAGCCGAAAGCGAAAACATAACCAGAGTATTAGAGTGGTTGTGGCGGTGTTTTTTACCTGCTTTTTACCATATCACTTGTGTAGAATTCCTTTTACTTTTAGTTACTTGGACAGGCTACTAGATGAATCTGCACACAAAATCCTCTATTATTGCAAAGAAATGACACTTTTTTTGTCTGCATGCAATGTATGTCTGGACCCAATAATTTACTTTTTCATGTGTAGGTCATTTTCAAGAAGGTTATTCAAGAAATCAAATATCAGGACCAGGAGCGAAAGCATCAGATCACTACAAAGTGTCAGAAGATCAGAAGTCCGTATATATTATGACTATACTGATGTGTAGGGATTAGAAACCATGAGACCATATCATTTGTTGGAATTAATATGTACAAAGTGTAAATAAATGTTTCTTTTCATTTTCTTTGCTGGAGTCCCTCAAAACATGGATTTGAAAAAAATAACTAAATGGCATGAAATTGAGGCATAATTTCAAACTAAGAAAAACATGAAGACACAACAAAAAGTGAAATAAATGAGAGGGAATATAGGGATGAATAGTAGGGCTCATGTAGGAACAGACTGAAGACCCAGAAAAGCCACAGCCACCTGAGCATGGTAGCACACACCTACTCCTCTGCTACCCCAGCTACTCAAGAGGCTAAGTCAGAAGGTTCACAAGTTCAAGACCAGTCTGGGCAAATTAGTGAACTCCTATTTCAAAATTTTAATAAATTAAAAGGGTTGAGGATATAGCTCAGTGTTCCATGGATGGGTCTAAACCCCAATACCACTTAAAAAGGGAGCTGCAGCTACGTTAGTGCACCATACCACTTCTCCAGGACATATGGTTGCTCTGAATTCACTTTTGCAGGAAACAGAAATAAGGGGACAGTCTAAGGAGCCTTGAGGTTCAAGAGTTGGGAAATAAAATGCTATTTTCAAAGTAGCTCATTTCCTGCAGATATAATTGAGTAAATATTGATTACTGTACTTTCTGTCATTCCATTATAAACTATGTAAGATCTCACTGTGTTTTTCAATGTCTTATGAACCAAAGAAAATGTGGGAATGGGTGGGAAAAGAGGAAGTTTGGCTCTATTTTTAAGCAATACATTGAAATTGTCAAGTTCATCTAACTAATTTTAAATAAGGTATGTCAGAGAAAACAATTATTGAATATTAAGAAAGGCAGAGCCTGGATACAATATCCTAAAGTTATATCTACCATCATACTTTTACAATGTATTTAATTCCTGATGTGCTAAGGTTAGAAAAGAAAAATGAAGGTGTGGCTAATAAGTATATTTAGCTCGTCAAACAGCTATTACCAGTGTTTTTTAGAAAAATGATTAGCAAAATATCCTTCCCTGTAAGCTACACTCAACCTTTAACAGGGATATCATTAATTTTAAAATATAAATGTAAAATGATTGACCGAGTTCATTAAGTAAAGTCAGATAGCCTAAGAGTGGCTAGGCATGGTGGTGTACTGTTATAATCTCTGGTAATCAGGGGGCTAAAGCAGGGGGATCACATGTGAGGCCCTGGGTTCAATCTCTAGTACCACCAGGCTCAAGTTTAACTGTAAGCTTTTAAATCTTAAGACTATCGAGCCATCTTCTTTTTGAAAACCATCATGTGTGAGCATTGATGAAGAGTCTGATTTGTTCCTTTATATTAGAAGCATTAACAGAGAAAAAAAAGTAAAGGTATGTTTGCTAACAGAGAACATTATAGGTAATAAACACATGCATATAAACACACACATACAACAGGGTACCAAATTTAATTTACACTCATGTAACCTGTCTGCAAAAGCCTAAATGAAAGTGAGTAAAAGTGAAGGTGCAAGAATAACTTAATGCAACGATGATTATCATGGTCAGGTGTGGAAATTGCATTCAAGGACAGGAACAAGATTACAGGAACAGTAGTCAGGGATGGCGCTACAAAGTATCTACTAGGAAAGTCAGTTTTGGCAGAGGAGTTGGTGACAAAGGGGTTTAAAGAACTACCTGACAATTTCTATCAAAATATCCATCTTTCCGCAACTGTGTGCCACTAGATGAAGACAGGAATGTTTTTAGACCAACTAATGAGAAAAGCTCATGTTTTCCTCCCCATCCTGAGAACATCCAGGATGAGCCACAGCTGCCCCAAACGGAACAGGGCAGCACCATGGCCTGGGAGACACCCTAAGTACAATCTGGCCTATTCTCTCCATCGTCTGTTTCTCCCCTACACCACAATTCCTAGTCAAAAATTTCAAAAATGACATTATCCACTATGATATTTATGGATGCTGCTGAATTCACAGCCTTTCTGGAACCTACAGACTAAGTAACTACCCTCTTTAATAGCACTCACTGGCTCCATTTAGCACTCTAGGCCTTACAAGACATCTCTACCCCACACCTCATCTAATCCTCTAATTCAAGCCTCAATTCCAAGAGGTAGTTACAATATTTTAAAATTCATTTCAGTGTTTCTAAAATTGGACTGCTGTATAGTTACTGAGCATGTTTAATTTGATGCTATTTTTCTCTGAAATGGGATTACTAAATTAATGGAACACCTTACAACACTGACCTAGAAAAAAATAGGGTTTTATCCTCATTTTTTTAAATGCACATGATAAAACCACACAAAATCAAATCACTTATATTTTACATCGATTCCCACACTGTGTAACAAAAATGTATAAAGGGTAACAAAAAACCATTTACATGAGTAAAATAGCAGCAATAGAAATACTATAAAAATATGGAACTCATGTCAAAAAGTACCACATAAACATTTCAGTAAGAGTGAAAAAACTGAGAATTTTGTTTTTAAAAATTGATAATTTGAAAATAATATCCAACAGGGAACATAAAATTTCTTACAGCTTTTGGGTTATACATGTTGAGTAGCCCTTATCCAAAATGCTTAGGTCCAGAATTGTTCCAGACATGGGTGTTTTTAGGATTTTGAAATATTTTTACACATCTAATGAGTTATCTTAGGAATATTCCCAAGTCTAAACACAAAATTCGTGTATGTCTCATATACATCTTTGACACAGATGCTGAAGGTAGTATTATACAACTATTTTAGTGCATCTATGTTTTGATTGTACTTTGTCATGAGATTAGGTGCAGAATTTCCACTTCTGGTATCATATCAGATTTCTGAGCACTGTAGATTCCAGATGTTTGGATTAGAGATGCTTAACAGTCAATATTTCAGGATCTTCCCACAGAGCAATAAATGCTGTATTAATTCTTCCTTTCATTCAGAAGAGAAACAATTTCCCCAGAGAAATTTTAGCATTCTTCATTAAACTCATATTCAAAGAAACTCATCTTACAGAATATTTTTCAAGTTTTGTATTGCTGGATAATACAAAACCACTTCATTGATACTTAATTCTCATTCTATACCAGTATTTTATTTCCTCAGCTAAAGTTTCATGGGAGGAATGCATAGGAAAATATATAAACATAGCTTAAGTATTCAAGGCAAAATATGTGTGTACAACACACAACAGAGTACAGCTTTAACATAAAGAGATTTAAGAATCACCAGGGGAAATGTGATATACTAAGAAAAAAACAAAATAAAGCTTGAGATCACAAAAACTTTATAAATATTTTTTCCCCAACAAGCCGCCACCAGAAGCCAACAAATCAAATATTTACTAGGCATATTATCATGTAAAAAAACACACTGAGATCATTATGATTCAAAACAAAACAATCTTTTGATATCCCTAAATTTCTTACTAAGATCAAACATTTTAAATTTTCACCATGATACAAGCATCTAGTAGATGCAGAATTTAGCCTACTCCCTAGCCACCTGGCACCACCTAGTGGCAAAATTATAAAACAGGTGAAGAACATAATTTTCCATCCTACTGAGGCTACACAGAAGACTGCAAAGCCTGTTGCTGTGCTTTATAAAATTGCCATACTCTTTTTATTTTCTAAATTTGAATTACTCTCCAACATTTTATCCTTTGTGCTCCCAAAGTCATCAAAGATATCAAGAGTTCCTTTATGGCGACGTTTCCTGACAATATCCCTTTCTCTGGAACATCTCATCTCGTCATCACTTTCCACATTGGTGCTTGTATGTTTGCCTTTGCTGAGTTCATCTGGTGGCACACCTACTGTACCACAGTCAGCAGCTATTCCTTCAGTACTTCCATTTTCATTTTTTGAATTTCACTTCCTACATGATCACTTTTCATTTCTTTGATACATGTTCATGTCTGTTGTTCAGTTTTTACAATTAATTTGTTTTTATAAAACGACGTGTTGTCACTAGGAAATTAAAAGGCAACACAGCTACACATTTTGCTATCTGTATTAATCACTTTCTTGTCACTGAAAGAAAAGTTAAGGAGAAGAAATTTAATCTGATTCATAGTTTAGGAAGATTCAGTCCATGGGAGGCTGGCTCCAAGGCAGAAACCACATGGTAGAAGGCACGGTGGAGGAAAGCTGCTCACCCCATGGAAAATAGGAGGCAGAGAAAGTAGAGAGGAGCCTAACTAGAAAACACACCCTCCAAAAGCATGTCCCCAGTGACACACCTCTTCCAACCAGGCTCTAACTCCTAAAAGCACATTTAGCTATGAACTCATCAATGGGTCCATTCAAATTGCCCAATCACCCCCCAAATGCCCCACCTTTGAACATAAGACTCTTGGGGAACATTCTGGATCTAAACTATAACACTTTATATGCATGAATTGAGTAACCATTCACTGACAGATTTTGAAAGAAGTGATTTGACTGGCACTTATGTATGTTATTTACATAATAACTGAGAAATTGAAGAGCTAGCAGCTAAGTTTGTACTACATGCAATTATTTAGTTAATATATTGTGGTAGCCATTCAGAATGGTTCCTAAAGTGACAGGTTAAAAAAAGATAATAATGATAAAATCTTATATAGTGCTTAACAGTATCCAAAGCATTTTACACATAATATTTCCAATCACCACAACAATTCTATGAAGTAAGCATCCTATTATACCCATTTTACATATGAGGAAAGTGAAGCATACCAGATAAAGGTACATGGCTGGGAAGTGAAGTGACTAATGAAGGTTAAGAAACTGGTGGGTCTGGTTCCAAGTCCAGGTTGTTACCAGAGCTGCATCACTGTCTCTCCAACCTCAACCAAGGAGGCCTTAATGCTCAGTTAATAGCATCACTATCCACCCTGGCACCTGAATTGAAAATCTGAGTCCCCTCTTTTCTTCACTGCCTTTAGCAACCTATACCAGATGTTACCAAGCCTCCCTCAGAAACGGTGAACAACCCATGCCTCTGTCCTGCACCTCACCTGGCTCAGCCTCTGCGGGGAGCTCCATGGTCTCACAGATGTGCCAGGATTTGGGAGTTGGGCAGACACAGACCCCCACAGCT